GGGGGGGGGGGGGGGGGGGGGGGGGGGGTCAAAGAAAAATAAACTTTTAGCCATAACTTTTGAACGGTTGCAGATATCGAGTTGAATTTTCGTTTTAAAAGGAAGAACATAAAAATAGCTTCTTATTGAGTACAACCCGGCCCTGGTCTCGCTTCGCGAGACCCTGAGTATCGCGAGTTAACCTCTAACTTAGAAACTGATAATCTCCGCAACCTCCGTTGATTTGGGTTTTTGGATTGTAAGTCCGTTATGTGGAAAAATGGCAAAATATATGTGGCTTTAGATTGATGAACTTTCATTGCGAAATGGTGATTGCATAATAATAGTTATACAAAGTGATTGGCAAGGCATGATGTAAGATTCAATTTTACAATAAGAAATATGAAAGTAAATCAATAACATTCAGAACAGGCATCGCAGTTCATCCGTTATTTCTTTTCCAGCCTGGATTGCAAGTACAGGTTCCGGACGACACTCTAAACAAACGTATGCGAAGCCATCTTGAGTGAATTCGAGTGAATGTACCTTGGACTAATTACATGAGTCGAGGGTAAAATAGTCGCCTGTTCCAAATGATTGGGATCGACATTCGGTTCGGACCGTGGTGTTGATTTTATACTGGTTTAGGTACAATAGCAATCCTCTGTGGTGACACCTCAATCAAAAGACGATGAAAAAAGATATTTTTCAGGTCACCTTTCTTATTTTTGACAAAATGACGGCCGGTAAAAATTTAAAAAAAGCACATTCAAATCACCGTTAGTATTACCGGTTGATGTTGATTTGCGTGGAAATTAGCACTCGAGGGTCTTATGACAGGAGAAAACCGAATTTAACATTAGTTTTTCGTTATCAGTTGTTCAGCGATGTTCAAAGTGATATTTTTGTATCTGCGGTTGAAGTTGAAGTTTTCGTTGCGCGAATCGTATTCTACGTGAAATTCTGGTGAAGAATCATGTATCAGAGTGCTTAAATTTGTACCTTGTTTTTCATTCAGTATAAAAAAGCGAACATACGGAACTTTCCTAACTTTTCTCAGAGAAAATATTTTATCGGGAGAAACGAGGCAACGTTGGAGTGCACATGTGTATGTGTGAGCCGCTTTTACGGCGCGCTAGAGCGCTCTGCGACGCCTATTCTCCACAGGAATCTGTCATGGTAGAGATCCTCCGGAAGCTGGCATCTCTCCATCTCTTCATGGATGCCCTCTACCCACCGTTTGGCTGGACGCCCTCTTCGTTGCCTACCTGGGGGGACCCACTCCAACACCTTCTTCGGCAACCTGGTATCAGCCATTCTCTGCACATGCCCATACCATACCAATTGCTTGGTCATGATATCGTGCACAATCGTCCCCTCAACGCCCATTATCTCTCGGACACGTTCATTCCTGACACGTTCTCTCCTCGAGATTCCAGCCGATCTTCGCCAGAAATCCATCTCGGTCGCCTTGAGCATTTCTTGGGTCCGCTTCTTCAACTGCCACACTTCACTGCCATAGGTGATAATAGGCTTGACAACCGAATTATAAATCCTCTTCTTGTTGTCTTTGGAAATCCTTTGGTCCCAAAGGATCCCATTAAGCATGGCGATGGCTTTCCTTTCTAGAAGATTACGGTCCCGAATGGCCTGATCCAGCTTCCCATCCGAAGTCAGCTTCACCCCCAGGTACTTGTATTGTTCGCAACTTTCTATATGTTGACCATCCTCCAGGACTATGCTTTGCTGAGCACCTCCGACTGACATCTTCTTACTTGCATCTTCTTCTTAGAGTGCACATACGGCGTCGAAACATAACATGGGCCTTTTAAACCCAATTGTCCGATGCCGTGATTAGCCTAACGCGAGTTCGAATAATCGCGCGCTAAACACGGTGCGGTCGGCGTCAAGCGCATGTTAGCGCCTACAAGACTGCATGAATACTTCTCGCACTGCACCAAACACATGCGAGAGTTATTCGCGATAACTATTCGATTGCAGGTACAGGCACATCGTAGCTAGCTGTATTGAGGGCGCATCACATTGTAAAGATGATTCGACAACTCGACACTGAACCGCACTCCCTTCCATGGCTTGCGCGACGCTAAACTCGCCGCAAAACTTTTTCCACGCGTCATTTCTTTTGACGGTTCCTGCCCGGTTTTCACCCCAATTAAAGGGTAAATATGCATCTTAATTGCAGCGATTCAGAAACTCGGAAGATATTTCAACGATGCAGCTATTCTGAAACTTAAACGCATAAATCAATTTTGGTCTAATAAAAAGAAAACAGAACAAACGAGAATATCGAGTCGAATTTTTTTGTGATTTTATTTTAAATCATTCCGGAAATTTCGGATTTTATAAAAAACCGTGTGTTGTTTTTTTTCTGTAAAAAAAAAAAAAAAAAAAAAAAAAAACCTTGGGAACTCTTTAGAAAAACTGCGTGTGCAGTTTTTCAAAAATAAGTCATAACAAGTGGTGCATAACGTTACAATCAGAGATAAATACGCTTTCTTTCGCGTGCACCCGTCGGATTTTGAATCTATTCATCTATGAAATAACTTGAACATAGTTGTTCTACGATTTTTTACATGTAGTATTTATTCAGTGATTGGCGGCCGCATAGCGGCCACAGACCCCTAGTACATGCATTAAATCGTTCATCAAGCTTAACAGCTGTTCATAAGCGACCCATAGCATAGTTCAAGACTATGCATAAAGAAATAGTCCCACCGTACCTTTCATAAAACATTTAGATTTTTTCTCATCTTAATTGGCATCATTGGCGACTTTCATCATAATTCGTATTTTCATGGAGTATTGACATCAATTGTGGGGAATTTCTGTGAGTTTCCTCCTTGACGGAAGGAGTATTCGATAAAAATTTTCAGTCGTGATACAAAAAAAAAAATAAATAAATAAATAAACAGAAACAAAAACTCTGATGCCATAATTGCACGGTATGATATCAGAGTTCATACCTATATGACAGGGGGAACATTTTAAAAAATGAGGAAAGCAGCATAAAAATTAACAATACATTTATTTTGATGAGTTCAACTTACAGGTAAAAACAACACTTACCAAAAATAAAAATAGAAGTATAAAAACCTGAGAAAGAACTGAGATGGTCTTAAAAAAATCAATTATGCACTACAAATCACCGTTGCATCAAGAACCACAATTCTGACAACTGCTGGGAAACGTGATTATAAGAACTGTACAGCTGATACATTATGAATAAACATTAAGTAGTTGATAAAAAAATACGAAACAATTTTAAAATTGCTTGATGGCACGAAATGCCATAAAAAGATAACTTGCACGATTCCAAGTGGACCTTTTAGAATTTTAAAAAATAATTATGTTGGTTGAAGGATGAAGTTAGAGGCTGGACTTTTGAGTGACGGTGATTTTCAATGCTTTAGCTAGTTGTTCACCAAAGTCTGGGTGTACTTGGGTAAAGTTTTTGACTGCTCGCTCCTGGAAAAAAGGGAGGACAAAAATTGTTGTCAGTGGCCGAGATGCATAGAAAATAAAAAGCAAAATTGAAATTTCCGTTTATGAAATTCGTTTGTAATTTTTTATACACCAAAATGTCAAATAGATAACTAGAAAAATCAATAAAAAGATTCTTTGTTTTCTTCAAAAATTATTTGATAATAGAAATTTCATAATTTGTAATCAGAGGGTGAGAGTGTCTAGAGTTGGGGAAAGTTTAATGTTTCTAACGACAATAACCTAAAATTTACTGCTGTAACACCTTGTTTCAAGCACTTCCTGAATCGGGTAATAGCCTCATTACTGCATTGAATCCTATCACTAGGCAATCTAACTTTGACTTAAAATTCAAGCAATCATGAGACAATATGACTTAGGGAAAGACAAATTGTTTGCTGTGGGTAATGCTGTGTCACCTTTCGAATTTTAGAATAGCTTTGAGGAATGATAAAGAAAAAACATGAATGAATGAATGAAAATGAATGCAAAATTGGCCAATTAAAAAGAAGGTTGTAAGTACCTGAATAAACTCGGCTGCTTCTTTCAAATGTCCGGCAAGATTGGCTACAAGCCTGCATCTTTCTTCTTCGTTCAGAGTCTTTTCCCAGAATAATGTTGCTTGAGAGAAATTGTCATCATTTCCAGTTTCATACCTGAGGCAAGACGTGTGTTAGTGTAAAAATTACCAAGAAATAATTAAGAAAAAATAATTCAATTTAAAATACACACACAACTTTGTAAAAACTATTCTTTTGAGAAACCCAACGCAGAAATTTTGTATCCCTGCGATTATGATACATTGTTTACTAATTTCACAAACTATATTGAAAACTTTCGAAACAATTATTTTTCTTTTCTTTTTATTCCAATTCCTGGGTTAATGTACGTGATTCTTCTGTGAAAATGACCCTTCTCAATGATATAATTACAAACAAATATTTTGTGGTACCACCGAGACCGCAAAACTCACCTTTGAACATCGCCAAAAACAGAGGATTTGGAGAGGGCAGCATGGCCACTTGGTTCAGGCCCTCTGAAGCTGTTAGGATAGTAGTTTGGTGCACCACCTTCGTTGTAGTATGACTGAGGTCCATCTCTTTGCTGATTTGAAATTCGGCTGCGATACGGGCAGTTGATCGGTAACTGTAAGTAGTTGGCCCCTAGCCTATGACGGTGAAGGTCTGCGTAGGAGAAAAGTCGAGCCTATAGGAGAAAAAAAGTCCAGTAGATTAAGAGTAATGATTCAGATGATATTTTCAAAGTATCAATGGAATTTAGGAAACAGATATCCTTGACCAAAATGACAAAATTATCTGACTTTCTGGTTTTATAATGGACATCTGAGTTAACGTTATTTTTTAACTTTGAAATTCCATTAGTTTTTTTCAACATCAGAGCTAAAATTGAGGAGACTGAACCCACCAATAAAACCATCCATTGAGAAGAAATGTTAAGTTTTTTCTTAAAACTACGATAATTTCCTAAGTTTTCAAGGCTTTTACTTACCTGAGCTGCATTTTTTATGCGCGAAAAAGAGAAGAAAAAAAGGCACCATGGTTAAGCTATCAATGTAAGCCAATTTAGTAAATTTTAGAATATTAAAAATGCCGTTTTAGACCGGTACTTTGGGACCTGGAAGAGGTTCTTAAATATCCTGGAAACTTTCTTCGTTTTATAGATTAATTCAGCTGTTGGAAAACAACTTTACAATAAACCATTTATAAATTTGGAGGAAAACTTACTTGAAGCATTTTGTCCGGACTTGGTTCAACTCCTGGGACCAAATGAGAGGGGCTGAACGCAGCTTGCTCAACGTCTGCAAAGTAGTTCTCAGGATTACGGTTCAGTACCAATTTGCCAACAGGGATTAGTGGGAAATCGGAATGTGGCCAAACCTAAAACAAACCTCACTTATCATGATTTTTACCGAAAAGATATTCGACCTAATACATCAGTGAGCATTAAAGGCGTACAAACAGCAGTTTTAAATTTTTTTTTTTAACTTAACCATAACTGAGGGAGGTTAAGTGTAGCGTTTTGAAAGAGAAAAACAAGTTACAGGGTATCATTTTGTCACCAAGTCGACAAAGTAGGTTGACTTGTGCTAATCTTTGGACAAAATTTCCACTTCTACAGATTCAGAGTATAGGAACAAGCTCTCAGAAGTTGTTTGCACACTTTTAAATGGCGCCACTGAGGTTGCTGAGCCTGAGGTTTTCTAGACAGTCAGAAACCAAGGGCTTGCTGTGAAACGGAAAGTTTAATCATCTCTGGGTAAAAAATAACAGAAAAAAAAAGAAAGAAAATCCATGAGACACTTGGAGAAATTGATATTTATTTGCTTTCTACTCAGAGTGTCAAATAGTAGAATATTAGTTCTCCTAAGCAAGACTATCACATTGCAGAGGGATGATATTATTTCTTGGGCTATTATTTAAGATTCCTCAAACTAGTTTTAAGAAAGATTTTTATCCACAGGAATATAAACAAATAAAACATAAAAAATTTAGAAATTCCAGTGCTATTCAGTCAAATCGTTCATATGAGAATGGGCCTGTTGCAAACTTTTGCTAGAGCAAAACTTAGAGTTGTTTCTTACGGATAATGCCTCAAAAATCACGATGAGCGCATCGACAAAGTCTGAAATGCACTCATAATTTCACAATCTGCGTAAGAAATTTGCGGTTTTTTGAGCTTCCCGCTTCGAAAACGATACTACGGTACAGGTGAAAATCTTGTTAGAGGAGTCGTTCCATTGACGGCAATACTCATCATGGCCGACGCCAGTCCGCCAAAACACGTGTGATGGGACGAGATAACACCTGAACAGGATTAAACCAGATAACAACCGGCGTGTTTACGTTCATATTTTCCTCGCCCGCCTTAATTGACCTTGAACTCTCCTCGAATTACGCGAGGAGCTGCGCAAGCGTCGGCCATGATGAATATTGCCGACGATGGAGCGACTCCTCTAACGAAATGTTCACCTGTGCAGTAGTATCGTTTTTGAAGCGGGAAGCTCAAAATAACGCAAATTTCTTACGCAGATTGCGAATTTATAAGTGCATTTCAGACTTTGCCGATGCGCTCATCGTGATTTTTGAGGCATTATGTATAGGAAATAACTCCTCATTCTGCTCTAGCAAAAGTTTGCAACAGGCCCATTGCAAGACTGAAGCATCACATTTGAATAGCAGAAACTCAAGTACAAAATAACGATGATAACAAAAAGACTGGAGCCCTCCTGGGCCCAGCTGCTATCCAATTCTAATTTCTTTGTCACCTTAAACTGTAACATTCTTGATTTTTATTGTAAGTGGGTGAAATCTAATTAAAGTAAAAAAAAATTGGATAATTGTGTAGGTAGAAAAAGAAATTACTTTTGTGAGGTCGAATGGGTTCCATCTGTAACTCTTGGCTTGCTGGAATGTCATGACTTGAATGTACATGGTCCAAGAGGGAAAGTCTTTTGTAGCAATGGCATTATATAAGTCTCGGATAGAGTAGTCAGGGTCACTTGATGCGAGTTGTGCAGCTTTCTCGACTGGAAGGTTTTTTATTTTTTGATCCGTCTGAAATAAAGTCAGTTTCAAAAGATTAGATGTGATGTCAAAAGGTGAGTTTTGAAGCATCAGTAAAATACCAAGGCCTGTGGGACAGTAATTGAAGAGTTTGCCCGTAGAAGGGCGTTTAAACACGCATTTGAAGTTTTCATTTTCATCGCTCGACCTGCTATGTTGATGATGGGGCAAACTGAGAACATATTTCTTTTGTCAAAGTATATTTCACTGAAAATCGACCATTTCTTTGATTACAAACTGCTTGGGGCTCTCACAGCATGAGAATTTAATGAGCCTCCTAAGACGCCCTTCTACCAGCAACCTAGTACAATTTCTTAAAAAGAGCAGGTTGAACGATTTTGTAATGTGTTTTTCCATTGTAAGGCTTAAATTTTATCACTAATCGACTAAATAAATATTCTGGTCAGATAGCTTTGATTATAGTTTGATGTAAGGAAGAAAAAATCGAATTTATAAGTGACACGTTTCTGAATAATGCATTATTTTTTTTCCTCTGCATTTTGAACATTTGTAATACTTTGATCAATCTGAAGCGATGTGGGGTAACAGAACAGACTGCTGAGCGCCGGGCTGGAGACTCAGGCCACATGCCACAAATGAAAAAGGGATGAAAATGAACAAGGAACACAAAAATTAAGTTTGGCGTGACCAAAATTTAACTACAGAGACATTACCGACCCGAACCGATGAAAGATGGGGGGTAATCCAAGGATTACCCCCAAAAAGGGAAAAAATCGAGAGCAAACGTCTTACACGCACATCCAGGAAAAACGAGCCAAAAAAAAACTGAGAGCACTCTCGACCAACCAGAAAGCAGCACCTATGGCGTCACTTTCTGGGTTCGAGAGTGCTCCCACGGGATAGGCTGCCGGCCTGGAGGGCGCCGAATTTGATAAATTTCAAATTTAAAGGGGACCATACTACAGATACCCCCACTCTTCCGTGTCAGTCATCCAACACAAGTGTTGGAGAGAGAAGAGCGGAGTTTCCCGCAAAAAACAATCGTTACACACTTTGAGAGAGTAGAAGACTAAATTCATCGGTTGGGTTTGCAATGTTATTACTACTGGTCTTTATTTTTTCATCCTTGAGGATTCGCCGTTTATTCAAAATTAGAATACAAAATAAAATAAATTCACAAATGTAACAAAAGGTAACTGTGAGACATTTTTCAATAGCTCTAGTTTGAACAATGAAATGAGAATCATTAAGTACATTGAAAAAATTACAAATGACAAGAAAATTGACATAAATGAGAAAAACATTTTTCGGGTCGGGTCGGCTTAAAAGAAAATTTTAGGAAGTGGTACCACCCAATCAGTTATTATTTTCTTTAGAGAGTGAGAAGATAGAGAGATGTAACTGATGAACTTGACGTTCCCATCGTTAAATTTGAAATTTGATTACATGACAAGACCATCGGAAAATTAATGTTAAAGTATCCAAGGGGACAGGGAGGGTAAAAAAAAATTTAAGACTGATGTCTGTCGCGGAATTGTTCATTGGTTGTGCAACATTTTGAGCCTGTTGGAGCACGGACCTCAAGAGAAAGAAGGGTGGTTGTCCTTGGGCGAGTAAGAGAAAATAAAACAAAAGTTCCAGGTGGAACCCTAGTGCACTTTAGGCATGACAGAAGAGAGTCGGGCAAGTTACTGTCGCTTAACCCCTTCAGGAAACGTCCCAGCAAGAGTACCCTAATACGAAGGAAACATTGATTCTTGAGGGTAAAAAAAAAATAATAGAAAAAGGTTCCATAGGTGGACTCAAGAATGACATAAAAGATACACTAAGGAAGATATTTTTTAACCATGTGCGGGCCCTGCCTGCTTATGCACACATGGGGTGTTCTCAAGTTGAACATGACTTGAGAATGAAATATTTCATTGCCCATCTCCCCTGCAGGAGATCCGACGTTGAAAATATTATCTGTTCATGTAGGGGTCTGTACTTGATAAAAAAAAACTGTGGCAAAAAAAAAGAAAGGAACAAGTCGATTTAGAGTGGAGACACTTAAATCTCATTTTGATCAAGAGCGAATCTGCCTCTTCCCAGATTCGGATGTGGTGCGGATACCAAGACTGATCAAAGGAATGAAGTTGGACGGACCTTGTCTAGGAATTATTGTTAACTGATTGAATGGTGAGCTGCTCAGTTTCATTCCAAGGACATTTTGAAGAACATGAATAGAACATATGACTTAAATTATAATGAAGAGTACAAGTTTGATTTGGGTGACCCCCCAGTTTCCCGGAGAAAAAAAAAATTCGCAGAATTTTTTTTTTTTTTTTACTTAGGACGTGGGAAACTGTTGAAGCAAACTTGAAGATATAAAGTATAAGTTGAATTGTTAAAGTCAACTAGTTATGAGTGGTCCGCATACGTTTAAGTTTTTTGTTTACATTGATTTTGGTTGTTTATTCTTATATATAAATGTGTGAATTCAATAGAAGCATAGTTTTACAATATTAATATTATGAGGATAATTTTGTATAAAATGATTTGAGGATAACAATATAAATTGATGAGAGGCTGATTAACCAGTTTCAGCAGACACTAAGGGTCTCAAGTGTGAGGCATTATGCACCCCGACAATTTCAAGAGTTTCAGGATCTTGTAAGCGATAGGCATTACCTCTTACAATTGATTCTACAATGAATGGGCCTTCATACAGATGAAAGAACTTTTTTGATTCTCCGGACGATGCGTTTGACAAGTTGTGTTGTCTAAGTAATACCTTATCTCCTATTTTAAATGTTATCAAGTGAAATTTTTCATCATATTGTTGTTTTCTTTTTTGTGCTTGGGAATGTAATTTGTCACGGGCTAAGATTTGAAGTTTGTTAAAATCAGTCTTCTCAGATTCCGGGAAGGAAAGGAAATTGTCAAAGAAATTATGGGCTTTTTGTTTGTGCATGAGTTCATAGGGAGTGCAGCTAACACTAGAATTATGTGTGTGGTTAACACACATTTCCCAGAAAGATAGGTATTTTATCCATGAACAATGGTTATCATGACAATAAATTCGAAAGAAGTTGCCAAGAAGCTTCATATACCTCTCAACGGGGTTGGATCTTGGATGGTAAACAGAGGATTTTGTTGGCAAAATTCCTATTTCTTGAAGACGGTTGTTCCAAAGTTTAGAACGGTAACATGGACCATTATCTGATAAGACTGCCGAAGGTTTTCCTACTTCCGGGACATAACAGGTTAAGAATTTTCTGGTTACAGCTACTGCTGTAGCAGACCTCAGGGGATACAGTTTAAGGTATTTTGTGAAGACATCAAGGACAACGAGTATGTGACAGAAATTACCCTTAGACTTAGGGAGAGGACCCATGAGGTCGATGGAGACAAGTTCAAGAGGTTTTTCAGCCAAAATGGGATGCATAGGAGATCGAAAATAGTGTTGTGGTGTTTTACTTTTTTGACAATCTAAGCATGAGGTAACAATTTTCCTGGTTTTTGAGTCTAAGTTGGCAAAATACACAAAAGATGACAAGTATTTGGCGGTTTTAGTACATCCAAAGTGTCCGATGGACAAATGAGCTGCATTTATTATATCGGTTTCCATAGATTTTGGAATGCAAACTCTCCAGTTGCAATTGTGTGTGTTTCTGTGAAAAAGTACATTTTTGTGTAGAGTGTATAAATCATTATATTTTAATGTTACATTATTGGAAAGATTATCATAGATAGGACCAAATTCTGGGTCAGATTTTTGAGCATCAGATATGTTTTTGAAGGTATTTGTGAAGTTAGGAACGACAGATATCTTTGAAATGTTAAGTTCAAGATCAAAAGGAGGTAAATTATGCAACTCAGGCGGGTGCCTCGATAAAGTATCTGCGACAATGTTATCACTTCCTTTAACATATTCTATATCCAGGTCAAACTGTTGGAGGAAAAGTGCCCAACGCATGAGTCGGCCAGAGGATAATGTACACTTATTTAGGAAAATTAGAGCTTTATGATCAGTTCTGAGTGTTGTTGGTAAGCCTAGAATGTATTGTTGAAATTTGGCACAACAAGTTACCACAGCGAGTAATTCCAGCTCGGTTACAAAATAATTTCTTTCACAGGGCGTTAAAACTCGACTGTAAAAACAAATGGGACGTTGATTTCCCTCGTCGTCATATTGAAATAGCTCACCCGAGATGCAGACATAGGAAGCATCAGTTTGAATGTAAAATCTCTTCGTAAAGTTAGCATGGGCAAGTACTACTGTTTTCACAAAACAATTCTTGCTTTCTTCAAAAGCTCTCTTCTCTATTTCACCCCATCTCCAGGGCACATCCTTCTTTAGAAGTCTTTGGAGGGGTTCTATGATGGCGGAGTGATTCACTGAAAATTTGCGATAAAAGTTTAGTAGGCCGAGATAACTTTGAAGAGACTTTACATCTTTGGGTGCAGGAAAATCTGTGATAGCACGGATTTTAGATGGATCAACTTCAATTCCATCTGGAGTTATAACATAGCCTAAAAAATCTGTTTTGGGTTGCACAAACATACATTTTGAGAATTTCAACGTCATTCCAGCTTCAGCAAACTTTTCAAAGAAAATACGAAGGTGTTGTAGGTGTTCCTCAAATGTTTCAGAAATAATTAATAAATCGTCAACATACCTAAGCGAGAAATCATCTACCTCAGGACCCAATACATTATCAAGCGCTTTGTTAAACATTTGCATAGATACCTTTGTTCCAAAAGGCACTCGCGTAAAACGAAGGTTTTTTCCCTGGAATACAAAGCTCACATAGTCTCTGGAATCCTCCGTGAGTGGAATTTGAAGAAAACTTTGACTTAGATCTAGTTTAGATACAAACATAGGACGCTTAAATTTTCCTAACAATGAGTCAATTCGATCCGGAGTTTCAGCATCAGAGATGATTTTTGCGTTAAGGAATCTAGCATCTAGACATACTCGTGTGCTACCATCCTTTTTGGTCACTGGTACTAATGGATTTGAGTATGGGCTTGAGCTTGGCTCAAGA